AACAGCTGTGCTTCGCCTCTCGAATGTGAGGACGCTATAGGCTGTCCGATCTTCAAGTGCAATGATGAAGACTTACGGGTTAATTACTGGACTGTCAGCTTGACTAGCACGGTGGTCAATCTATTTGAAAGTTTGATAAAAGATACAGTTGAGGATCACTTTTATGCGGTCTTTCTACCGTGATTTCCGAGATCATTTAAGGCTCTGCGTGAAGTTGTCTCCTGAGTTCTCCACGACAGGTGGGGTTCGCTAAAGTTGTTCTTTATCTTCTTTCGTTTTCAGTTTTGTGATCATAATGTTCACGAGAGATTAGGTTCCTTCAGACTGGCGGGGTTGGAGTTTTGCCAGCAGATCGACTGACAAACCTTGGAATTTTCGGGCGACATTGTTATTCTTGGGTCTGAGGCAGTGACCATGCTAACTGTTGGATAGACTGATGCGTATCGCTGCACGCTACGGCATGTGCTTTGCACTCTCAAAGAGCAAAGTACTGTTTCAGAACTGGACCGACAAACCGGTTCTTGCTACGGCTGAACAGTCATTAGAACTGGTGGATCGGTTCACTTACCTTGGTAACTGTGTCACCTCTGGTGTCACATCACTGAGGGCGTTACTTCGCGTATCGGCAAGGCCCGTGTGGCTTTCCAGAGACTCAACCACTATGGAAAGTGCTGGGTGTCGGTCTGCCAGTGACAAGTAGGTTGTATAACGAAATAGAGAGGTAGGTGGAGCCAATGTCCAGATACGAGGTTGCGCGCGGGTTTACCGCGGAACACGTGAGCTGTCTGCTGCATGTGATGGTCAGCACTGGTGTGGAACGACCTTTGACTGTTCCGCCAAATATGGGAATCGGGTGCGAATTGATTGGCCAGCAAGTACAATCCCGCATCAAATGAGGCGAACCATTCTGCCCAATATGGTAAACCCGTATGACGGAATTCACTCACATTGGCTGAAAACCAGACGCAGAAGGGTGTATGGCCTCAGCTTCCAAAATTAGCGTGTTTCGTTCACCAATAACTAGAGTTGACTTATCCCTTTGAATATACCGTGTTTATCGAGCCTTGGTTTTTTGTATTCGTACGGCTGGCTGAGCAGGCAGTCGGTCACAGTCTCATGGGTGAAGCAAAGTCAGCAGCACGACATAACCCTTCGGCAAAACTGGTCTTACTCTGTGGATCAGAATCCTGGTCAGTCCGCGGCGAAGACATTGAACGCTCGGCCGTGTTTAACCACCGTTGCTTGTGGAGTATTGCTCACATCTGGTGGGACCACCAGATGAACAATGCTGTGGTCTGCCATTGGTTTTTGGCAAGAAGCGTTTTGGTGCCTCACTCGAGTGTTTGATGAATCTTAATCGCTTTCGTTGGCTAGGCCATGTCCTCTGTATACCCGTTGACCGGCTTCCTCGACGTGCATTATACAATGTGGTTGCACCAACTTGGACGAAACTGCGAGGTGGCCATTCTATAACGTGGCATAAGAACATGGAGAACTTGATTGGTAGGCTTGATCAGACTGGTGTGTGTCAGGTTCGTGGATGAGGGTTTCAGGATGATCCACACATATGGTTGGAGACGGTATTAAACTTGGCCAAATTACGCAATCAGCGGCGTTCTTGCATTCTGTTCCTTTCATCTGGTTGTTAATTTTCTTTCTTGGTTTGTTAATCGCACCCCATTCTTACTTCCATTTTCTTTCCATTCTATTTGCATTCAACCTCACTATCTTGCCGTTGCTATCTATTGTTATTACTAGGCGGCCGCAACGGATGAACACCACGCATGGTTTCGAGACAACTTTTGCCTAGAGCAGATCTCGGGTGCAACTTACTCAATCAGTTCGCCATCCACGACACAGATTGCTGCGTAATCCAGCGCAACTGACGGAGCCAGCCCATCATTTTCGCACGGGTTGCTATTGCGCGGACGTGAACGTGACTACAACCAGACAGTGGAGGCAGCCATCAGCTTTTAACCTGCCTAGGCAAGTGCCACTTATCAGCACAGCAACACACAGGGGAAAGTGAGCGCATGTGCACTATAAAATTAACGATGCTCTGTCTCTAATACACCGGTCTAGCAGATCTAATCTCTTTTCTCCGTCTAAGCGGCGCCCGAAACAGAGAGCAGCAGCAAAGCGCAACATTACAATCGTAATACTTTCGATGCGAGTAGTGGAACCTACATCCACTGCAATTTGGTGAGCGTGTCATAGTTGTTAAACTAAACTAGACTGGAGGTCCACTGGAAGAAATTTGATTTGTTTAGTGTCGCGCAACATGGATTTCACAAAGCATCTTCGCGTCTTATGAACCTACCGTTAGCTCGTGTAAGGCAAAATCGGTACGCAGTACCGACGCTTCACTTTCGTGCAACTACCACCAGTCGTGCGTGCGTAGGCCGCCTGGTCCCCTCCGCAGGCTCGAACCCGCGACCTCACGATTACAAGTAGAGCTTGCGATCCGTGAGACCAGCTCATAAGACATGGGCTGAGGTCGTAAACAGTGGACTTGCTGTTCATTGACTTCCCCCAAAGCTTTCGGCACTGTCCACCATCCGCGGTTCTCGCTAAAGTTGTGGTCTTATGAGATATCTGGTCGCGCCACTCAGTGGGTGGTCGGACTGGAACAGTGTGTACGTGTAGGAACCGGTCTTTCGTTTTGACAAGCTGTTCTTAGCTGCGTCTCGTAGAGCTCTCTTGCAGCAGCTGCTGTTCCCGGTCTACTAAAAGGCTTGTCTGGAGAGCTTGAGGTGCCATCACCCTTATTTGCTGATGACCTAAATCTTTGGCATAAGATAAGAAAGGCATCAGTAGTACGCAAGTACGCAGTACCAAGGCCTCGCTGCCGTGCAATCACTACCGGCCGCACGTGCGGTAAGGAGATTGCGAGGGTCGCTCTGCTTCTACGCAGGCTCGAACCTGCGCCACAAGGTTGCATGACAAGTTTGTTACGTCTAGGATATAGTAGAATATGGTAGATGTCCCCGGATGTTATGAGGCTCTTTAACGCGCTCTGGATAGACTCTTGGAATGGTCTATTTTTCGATTGTTGCCTATAGACCGGGCAATATGTTCAGCGCTGCCTATCGGAGCGTTTGATTGCTTCAATAGGTATATGACCGATGCTAGTGAAATTCCTCATCTGACTAATCGGGTTGATCTAAGTGTCGTCCATTGTACACTCTGGCGATTCCAGGAAGCAGATGGCTATCAAAGGGTTCCGGATGTTGTGGTTAATCCGTCTTTCTTTCGGGTTCCTAACTGCTGAAATGTTTTTGAAATTCTTCACAGCTTTCATGCGATCCTACCTAGAATATTGCGTCCAGTCCTGTCCACCATGCCTTGTCTGGGATAAAATGGCACTAGAATGGGTTTGCGAATCGGTACTAGTTTAGTCGATAGGTTAGGAGGACAAACGCACCCCTAGCGCCTACTTACTTTGGGTGTGCATTCGGTGCTCTATCAAAAGAGTAGTGGGGACCTAATCCTCACCCACTGTATTTTAACTGGGTGAGTTGGTTTGGATTTATCTTAGCTATTTAGTTGTGCTACGTTGTCTGATCTCCGCGGGCATTGCATGAAGCTGGACAACCCGCGATTCGACCGAATTAGTGCGGAAGCTCGGCTATCGCACCTAGTAATCGAGCACTGAAATTTTCCATAAAATGTTGTCACGGAATCTAGGGTTGTGGTGGTTGAGCGTTAGCTAGACACTCTTAGATGGCAACACGAAACCTTTCCTTTCTGACTGACTCCAATCCTCCTACTTCGCTTTTTTTCTGTATTTTCATGCATTTGTATTATCATCTTATTCCAACTGACATTCCTTATTCCTTACTGTCGCTTTCCCTTCCTGTCTCTTGTTTACTTCGCGTAACTGGCACAACAGCGATTGCTAGTGCAGCGAACGTGGGCAGTAATTGGTTAACGCGTGCGATTCGGGTGTTCCGTTTTGGATCTAACAAGAAGTCGAAGCACCTAATTCACTGTTTCAACGACGCTTATGGGATGATCCTATCGTTGCGGTCCCACCTGAACTTAAACTTAGACGGGATTGTTCGGCGCTGTTGCTCGGTGTCTAGCGACTGGAATTGTTGCTAACCGGAATTGCTTTTCTTATTGAAGCATACGGCCAGTTTCGGACAGTTGGAACACTTATAATTAACCGAAATTCGAATGACGGTTCCTGTAGCCGACAGCTTTTCATTAACCTTTCTGTCTAGTCTTTTCTACTGCAAGGCTAGCCAACTAGTTGATCAGGCGAAATGATGATCATCAGTTGGTAGCTTGTCGCAATTGGGACATCTTGTCTTTCCGGTTGGGGTCCAAAAGACGACGATTATATTTGGTTATAAGCACTTGTTGATGTGTCGTTAGAATCTTTTTTCTTTCTGTCGTTTGTGTTGTGTCTTTAACCCCCCACCATCCCGATTAGTCCCCCGTCCACTCACGATCTCAGTCTCGATGCATCACATAAAATGCTATTGTTTTTTGCTTTGCTTTTACTAGTTCCTACTTTTCTCATTATGCATACTACCATCTTGTTGGACCTCATTGCTACGCAATAGTTTGAATGATTCTTGCCTTTTGTTGACGTGTAGAATGATGACAATAGTTTGTAGCCTTTCGTTTTAAAACAGTCTAGCCACGTCGCTGCTACAAAGCGAATTCTTACTTCTGCTACCAACCGTTTACTTGATATCATGTCACTGTTTACAGCAACAAGGGTATTCTTCAGTTCATTCTAGTGACTGACTTCACACTTCCTCGTTAGCTTCACTGCGATGTTACCTTCGGAAGCGTTTTACTTCTGTTCACAATCCCAGAGCAATATATACAACATGACCGTGTTAAAGTCCTGCACACCGGGCTCAGAGTCCGATTCCCTGCTAGGAGAGGAAGGCTTACTCGTCGCATATTATAGACCAAGTGAACAATTTCACAATCCGATTAATTTTGTAGTTGCTGATCCATCTGCAAACAGAGAACGTTGTACCCTTTACCGTTTCTCCTCTGATTCTTCTGGAGTCAGCACTTTGGTTAAACCACTGGATTTTGTGTATCTACCTGGTAAGTATCGTATTCTGTTCATTGGGAACATAGGCGACTCAGATATCGTTTGTATTAATGCTCTGCAGGATCCTGTGCATAACGAATACATCGTTGGAGTGGGATTCGTCACAGTAAGTTAGAATTTTTGTGCATCAAATTGCTACAGGATCAACAAAAAGGTTACTTAAATATCTATGGTTCGAGTTCACAGGAGAAGCTGTCTGGTAATTCAGTCAACATATAGGCTGAACGTCTGATTCATAGAATGTTATCTGCGGTATTCTGAGCTCTCTTGTGTTCCGCTGCAACTCACTCACACGTAGTGCGTACTTATGGGTAATGTTCTACTCATTTTTAATTTGTCGCTTCACTGCTTCACTTTACTGCAATTTCTCGCTTTTGCTCCTTCTGTTTCGCATTCTTGTGCGACCCATTGTCTTTCCCCAAGGCGCATGAGACCCAGTGAGGTTGTTGTTCACTGTTCACTGGAGCACAGCAGCCTGCTAAAGAGTGTACTAGGCATCAGCAGTACACCAGTACGCAATACCGACGTTTCGCTGCGGCGCAACCACTAACAGTCGCATGCGGGCTAAGGATAATCCGTACATCGCTCGATCCCGCGCTCTCGGATTGAATCATCATCATCATCATTATACATGTCAGCTAGAGATGGTAAAACACCTCCGCTATTGTACCGCAATACATAAAGGAAATACATACATACATACAATACATAAAGGAAAAATAAATACGCCAGTTGAATGCCAGCTGAGCTACCAGCAACGGATACGCATCGTTCCGGTAAGCTACTAGCCGGCTACTAGGCAAAAACAAAAATTTAATTACGTTTTACCCTACGAAATAAGATCGTAGATGGAGGGGGAGGCTAAAGGGATGGGGAGGGACAAAGAAACTCACAGCAGGAACGCCACTGAGGTCGGCTCCTTGCCATATCAGCAAGTGTATCCAGCCAAACGTGTTCACCGTCTTTTGGACCCCAACCAGGGAGCCGTGAAGCTCCAACTGAGGCCAGCTCCGAAGTGAGGGCCTTCATTCCTCTGGACCAAGTCATCGCTTGGCCACCTCTCCTCTTCTTCCACCCACATCCCCGGTGAGCAAACAACGCACGTCGAGTGAGTCGGTGGGCTGGCATGCGCAACACGTGGCCCAGCCATCGGAGCCTGGTGAGTGAAATGACGGTGCTGAGCGGTTCATTCCCTTTTCTTAAGCCGTAAACAAGGCGTCGAACACGCACGTTACTCACGCGGTGTTCCCACCAGATGTGAGCCAAACTGCGAAGGCACCGATGGTCGAACGTAAGTAGCCTCTTCATGTCCGCCGATCTTAGGGGCCAGGTTTTTGATCCTTTAACCTACTAGGAGTGACGAAACAACCCTAATGCCGTCCCATCCGTCACTGAACCATATTGCCTTTCTCTTGCCAAACTTCCAAAATCCGCTTACATATTGTTAGATTTGACTTTTCGCTTCTACTTTCCAGTATCCATACTTCACTTGCTATCCGACCGTAACATTGCAGTCTTGATTTGACATATGAATGGAACACGTTTGCCCTACTTGGTCTGCACTCTGCATTTCAAGCTTCCATTCACCTACTCTGTCTGCGCATACTATGATATTGTCGTCGTGTCTTATCACAAATGGATACTCATGATCACCGTTAACCAGCCGAATATCAACGTCGTATAAGAGAAAACCGAGTCTACAATTTTAGCTTATTAACTCACGCTTTTCTTTGCACGTGGTAGTTTTCCTCTGCTGTCACTATTATTCCTGCTGCTTTCGGTAGCCGCAGCTTTGATTGTGGTGCGCGTCTTGCTTACCTCTAGCGCCAGGGCATCAATGATGACCAGTTCAGCTTCCTCTTATCGTTACCTTCGGTCTGTCTACTGTCAACGGACGCACACGCAGAGGAGTGCTAGGTACTACCTATCTGGTAGGGTCGCAGACTGTTTGCGAGTTTGATTTTTCAAACACCCCTCACTGATTTATCATCAGGAACTGTAGCTTTCAGTGGGACTTCAACTAGATATCCATAGCGACTGTTGGCTCTTGTATGTTTACAAAAGTAGTAGCTGTAAGTCATCATTGTGTCTCGTTCTATACTGTGCATGTGATAGCTATGACGGTAGTTCTTCTCAGCTTGTCCTCTCGCTATTGGTTGCACGCATGCTGAGACACTGATGCGGTAGCCACTAGTCAAGTAGGGTAGGTATCATCCTCGGCTCCATGGCTGAGTCATCGTTGACTTATTTGGTTCTTGGGAATAGCAGTTTATCTGCAGCACGTTTGATGACTTCAAGTAAACTTGGTGCATGAAGTAGCGCTAGACGGTGTTTGCTTGTGGTTTCCATAGACTGGTTTTGATGCTGCCAAGGACACTTTCTTCTACGAACTGAACACCATTGCAGCTATCTTTGTCATTGCAGGGGATATGAATGCACACTTAGACCGTCTACTCTCAGATAGGTGCTAAGTATGGACTTGACTCCGAACGGACGGACAACGGCGAGCGTCTGTTACAACTGTGCGCAAACGCCAGCTGTTTTTCATAGTAACGCTTTTAGACACAGTTCCGACCGAATTTCCACCTATCATCTCCCTATAAATGGTCAGCGATAGACCCAAATAGATCACGTTGCTATAACATGCAGGTGGCGTGGTTCCATTCTGGATTGTCGATCGTTTTTAGAATACTTGCACCGACTCTGGTCATGCCTTTATACGCTATACCGGGAAGCGTACGAAGCGTCTCTCTCCATTGGCAACCGAGAATTTGTCACAGCCTCTGGTCAGGCAAGCCTATCACGATGCCCTGCCTACCGAACATTTGCTCTCTCATCATAACGACACTGCACTTCAATAGAGTAGGATCCCGGTCGTGAGGCACGATGCGGCTATCATCGCACCAGTCACTGGATATCCGAAAGGTCGGTGGACCTGTTGAAATAAAGAAAACTCCCGGTTGGCTCTGAGCACAATGTGACCAGACGGACTGTTAGGCGCGAACTATAACGGAGCCTGCGTGCTTGCAAGGAATCCTGGTGGACGAGTCGGGTTCAATAAACAGAAGAGGTGAGAAGAGTAGGGAACTATCCCAAGCTCTTCCAACTGTTCCGCACCACCTGTCCAAGGAAACCAGGCCTCAATGAGACATTCAGATAGCGCATGAGCCTTTATTCTCAAAAAGGAGCGCCGTATGGCTTGTTACGCAGTCTTTCGAGATCAATTTAGTTAGAAGTCTGCTTCCGGACGCCTTTTTAGTTTGGTAGTGCAGGCTGAGCGATGGACCTGAGGCTAAGGTCTGAAATGCAGCCACAGCTCTTAGTGGTTTTCGTGCCGCTGGCCCGGATTCCATTGCACCCGCACTATTTAAGGATGCTGATGAAGTCCTCTGCAAATTACCGATTTCCTTGTTCGAACAGATTTGGAAGGAAGAGGCCATCCCAGCTAACAGCAGTGAATCGATTATCGTGGTACTATACAGACAGACAATCACACCGACTGTGCAAACCACAGGGTATTAGTCTGACACCGGTGACAGAATTACTGGCCTGAATACTCGTTCGTCGTCTCACTGCGGAAATGGAATCCCGGATTAGGGAAGAGTAGGCAAGTCTCCTCTCAGGACGGGACTGTATAGACCATATACTCACTCTGCGCCAGGTAGTAGTAAAAATAGTAGTATGTCAGTTGTACGCCGTAACGGCGCTTCGCTGCTGCGCGACCACCGCCAGTCGCGCGCGGGCTGTATATACCGCGAGGACGCCCACCCCTACGCGGATTCGAACCAGTGACCTTATGGTCGCAAAGCAAACGTGCAGACCACTCGGCCACCGGCCGACCCTGCGCCAGGTGCTAGAGCAACACCACACGTAACGCAGACAGACAATAGCTGTGTTCCTGGGATTCCAGTGTGCGTTCGACTCAGTACATTGATCCGTACTCTTCGCGGTACTTGTGCGGAAGGGTGTTTCCAGGTAATATGTGAACATTTTACTTGCCCTGTACTTGAACACGACAGGTCGCATCAGGGTTGCGGTGATTTACCAGGTATCTTCCGGCCAACAATCGGCGTTCATCAGGATTGCCCAGTTTCCTCATTTTTCTTCAATATTGTCTGTACTCCCTTGCGGAATCTCATGATGCATGTATTGAAATGCAGCTTGGTGGAAAGCTGGTTGATCTTGATTACGCGGACGGTATTGCGTTACTGTTTAACGATCTTGGGCCAACCCATTCATACCTGAAAGATCTTTCTAGTGTGATCCAATCATTTGTTCTGCACTTTGCAAGGTATAGGTAGAAATTCATCAAATCTAGACTCACTCAGATGTTTCTACCTATACCATTCAACTCCCCCTGCTACTCTTCTGTACTTTGCAAGGTGTTTTTCCAATGTCACCAACCAGTTGATATTCCATTAACCCTTGATAGCGGGGAACTCGAGGTGGTTGATCAATTCACTTACCTTGGCAGTTGCGTTAGCAACGATGGGCGTATAACCACCTAGTCTACTTCACGTATTGATAAAGGTTGAACTACCTTACTGAATCTGCGATATCTGTGCGTTAGCAGGGAGTTTCCCTCAGTCTGAAGACCGTGTTTACAAGGCGTCAGTATGGCCCATTCTATTTCCTCCGATCTGTAGATCTGAGATAGGTTCAAGTCTTTGATCATCAGTGCTTGCGAAACATTGCTGGTGTCGAATGACACCAGCATGTCTGCAACTTTGATGCATCTTGGCAAGTGTTCGGCGTTGATTATCAGACTGGTTCCTTAGAGCAGCAGATAGCACTGATTAAGTTGTTTTGGCTTCGGCACATATGCTTGGTCACCGCTTACCGAGTATGGCTTTGTTTTATTTGCCAGATGTTGGGTGGCGCAAGACTGCAAGTGGTCAAAGTTGATGTGGCAGCGGGAAATGAACTCAATGGGTGGTATTGGTTCCGCTCGCTTTCCAGGCTGGATTCCAAGTGACCCGCCTTGTGCTCTGCTGGAGACGTTACAAGACAAGGCTCACAGTCGACACCAGTGGTGTGTCTGCTGTCATCTCTTAGGCGGACTGCCTGCTTATTTGCGGGTTATTGGCTGATTATGACGCGGGCAGTGAAAGCCGCAAAGGGACTGTCTCTCTAATGCCGCGTTTGCGCCATTGCCTGCTGTTTGTGGTGGTGTTGACAAGGTGTAGTCACCTTGACCCCGATTTTTTGTTTAGGGTATTGGGTTTTATCCTAAGTTCTTCTTCTCTCATTATTCATTCGGTACAACCACCATGCTTCAAATCAAGTCAAATCAATACGCTTTATGCACCAA